TTTCTCCGGCTCATCGTGATCTGCTGCAAAGTCTCTGTGGGGTTAGTTACATTCTCAACAGGGCTTTTGATAAATGTTTGCATGTGAAACGGGGCCAGAATTATCCAGCTGCTTTGCAAGGGACCGCGATGCTGCAGCCCACCCTCAGCCAAGTCAAATGAGAGATCGTCATTGAGTCGGAAGACTCCTGCGCCAGGCGGAGCTTATGGGATTCTGACTTTCTGGGCACTTAGCTAGGGCCAGGACAGCTCCCTCCGTGCTGGGCAGGTCACCAGAGCCTGCTCTGATGTGGGGCTGCAGGACGGCACCAACAGCGGCAGAGCTCAGCCTGCAGCTCGGCCTTCTACAGCGGACACGGTGCAGTGCTGAGCAAGCGGAGGCTCCAGCAGGAGGGGAAGCAGCAGCATGGCACAGAGAGGGGCAAGAAGAAGACACTCCCGGAGGCTGGTACAGACCAGGAGGAGCCAGCTGCAGTCCAGCGTTCCCGGGTGCTAGAGGTTTGCTGCTGTTGCCACACTGCTCCAGATGACACGGGCTCCAGGGTCTTGGCAGAGCTGCCAGCAAACGAAAGAGCAGTTGAAACACCACCCTGTGACCAACGAGACTCATGAAGCTCATGCCCAACAGGCAGCCACTGGGGAGACAATTCCAACATAACCCCAGGGCCAGCGTGGATCTTTCCACCAGATGCACCAAGGACGTGGCAAGTCAATCAGGATATTGCCTTCACTCTGCAGCCTGGAAGCGCCAGGATGTAACCCCGGCATTTCCCTCATGTGATCCTGTTTCTATTCCAAGCAGAGGGGAGTCCCACGGAGCCAGTGTCCCATGTCATCTGGCATGACACAAGCCAGGGATGGAGGCCTGAGTCAGACGGGCTCTGCTGTGCTGCCAGGGGCAGTGGCATGGGTGCGTCACCAACCAGCGAACACGCACATGTTCTTGAGCCTGGGCCCTGGCTCCCAGCCCTCCTCTTTCACTCCTCCACCCCTGGGAAGCCCCTTTACTGGTGCAAAGGGACAAGGGCAAGAACTACAGAAACAAAGACTGAATCTCCAGGGAAGGTCCCTCGCGGTCAGGGCTGTTAGACCGTGGAACACGCTGCCCGGGGGGTGTTCCCAGGAGAGGCTAGACCGGAGGGTCTGGGACAGGGGAGCAGAAAATCCTGCATCTGTGCAGGAAGATGGGCTCAGCAGCCTGCCCTGCACCCCGGGATGAGGCGCTGTGATGCTGTGAAGCCCATCCTGCCCGCGTGGAGGCAGGTCAAGCTACCCACAGGGAGCTACCCTGCTGGAGTCCAGGGCGCTTCCAGGTGTCCCTGCCATGCCCAGTTCCAAGGGATTGGTGTGGTACCACTTGGGTGCCCCCAGGGCTCTGGAGGAAGGAGCTCAGCGGTACCCAGGCCCCAGGGTAGGTGGGTGCCCTCCTCCTCCCCTACTACAGCTGAGGGAATGCGATGTCCGGAGCAGCCTGCGCACGCAGCACGGATGGCAGGTCTGATGCATCATGACCGTGCAAACTCTGCTTCACCTCTCATGTGCACAACTGTCAGTGGCGTGCACGGGCATGGGCAGGGGCAGATGTGGTGGCCCGGTCTCGGCAGAGGAGGGGCTGTCTCCACCCAGATGTGAGCCTGAAACTGCCTTTTTCTGGCTTTTGTGTGCAGTCAGAACAAATTCCCCAGGGATGAGTCACGTTTCCGAGGGTGTCCAGGGAGACGTCAGGCGAGCATCGAGTGTAAATCGAGGGCACGCCTCATGCGGGGAGCACACGCCGTAGCCTGCGGGCCCATTCCTTCCAGACACCCCATGCAGTGGAGCAGTTGGTTTTATGATCACTCCCAAAGGGGATTGCATGAACCCGCACACGTGTGACCCCTGGGAGCTCAGAGCTAGAGGGTGGGGCGGCTCATGTTTGTATTTTTTCACTAAGAGCAGCCACAGTTTCAGGGCGGAGTGCCAGTGCTTCCCGCAGCTGCTGGAGGCGGCTCAGGCATGCAAGGTTGCATAGCGCCATTCGCATGGGGATGGTGCCCGTGGGGGCACCTGGGTCTCCCCTCTCCCACCCAGGCTCCAAGCAGGTCTGGCTGGGCGCTACCATCCAACAGGTCGGTCTGAATGGCTGCTTGCATTCAGCCTGGCTCAGGGCTCTTTATTCCCAGACCTTAAAGCACCTTGCAGGAGATGGCTCCAGTGGCACAGGGCACTGCCCCTGTTTGTGCTGGACGAGCTGAAAGTAAAACCCAGGTCTCTTGCCCGCAGTCTGCCCGCAGAAAGCCCCTGTTCAAGGTGGGCAGGAAATGTCCCCACAAACATCAATGCCAGCGGAGGTTCTTCCCACTCCCAAGCTGAACTCGTGCAGGAGCCAGCCAGCACGGCTAGGGCAGTGCCCTTTGTGTTGGTACCTGCAAGCTGGAGTGTCTGGGGACAATCCCTGGGCTCCCTTTCAGAGGCAGAGTCTGTAGCAGGAAACCTGGGCCAACCTGGGCAGCTCCAACTCGCAACGTGCTGACGCAGCCACAGGGTGGACACGACCTGCCATGCCAGGCTCCCGCACTGAGCTGTGCGCTGAAAGCAACTTTGCTCTTTGTGCATGGAGCAGACCCCTGCCAGATCTTGACGGGAGCATGGGGACGAAGTCGGTACACACATGGTTCCAGTGCAGCGATCTGCATGTGCTGCTCCTCAAGGCATGGCCGGGCCTTGGACTGGATGCGGACGCCATAAGGGAAGTGCAAGGAAAGTGACTCCATGCCCGCAGGCTGGGTCGAGCTGCACCCAGCTATTGGCCAAGCCACCAGCCCGGGAGCACGAGCAACCCACCAGCCTGCAAAGTTCACGTCGGTCTCTCCTCCCAACACTGGACACCACAGTCCACGTCTGACCAAGTCTCCATCAAGGATCTGAGGGCAAACACGGATGACACCCCCCCACCCAGGGCTCCTGCCCCCTTCACCTTGCGACTTCCTCCCCAGGTGCCTGGCAATTACCAGCTGCCGTTAATATTAACGGGAGAGGAGGAAATGCAATCCTGGCCCCTCTTCATGTTCTGTGATAGCGCAAACAATTTGTCATGATAGGGGGCAACGGGGGAGCATTTATTATTGATCGCCAGGAGCAGATGGCTTTGCCGGTCCCAGCAACTGCCATGTAAGAGGAAGCCGTGGGTGCGTGGTGAGGATTAGGTTGGTGGGCACGTATCAGATAACCCAACCTCCAGCGGCACAAGGATCTGCCCACCAGGCTCACAGACCCGTGGAGCAGGGGTGGCTCAAACCTGAACAAATGGCCTCGGCCACAAGGAAACATCTCCCACCTCCCTGGGGCAGCAGCAGTCCATGTTTACCCCCTCCTGGGGGGACGTCCGTTCCGCAGGGCTGAGCAGAGATCCCCGCTCTCCTTTGAGAAGGGGTGTTTAAGTGCAAGGACAATGCCAGCACAAGACCACACGCATGGAAACTGGCCACAACACATTTTGGCTGGAAACAGAAAGTTTGCAAACACCCAGGGAATGAGGCTCTGCAACAGCAGCAAAGGCAGAACCTACCTTGCTTTGAGGTGGAGCCTGATCCTTTATGAATGAGCACACGATGTGGCTGCCAGTGCCAGCAGGGCTGCCTGGAGGGCCCCTGGAGCCCAGGGTTCAACCCCTCCAAGGGGAGCTAGGGGAAATGTGCATCAAGGTGCCCCTGGTATGGCTTGGGGCAGTAGAAGCCATGTGGATGCATGAGCTCAAAAGGAGGAGGGCTGAAATATGAGGGGAAACAGCTCATAGGCTGTGGTCCATCTGGCCATCCTAGGCGCTCAGGTGGTTTCCCAGAGGAGCTGAGTGCCTGGTTAACCAATTCACCCCGCATGGGCAGGAGGTGCCCGGCCTGCCCGGTGCAGCTTGGAAACTGAGGCACCGAGCAACCACGACTCACAGGACACGTCAGCATCAGAGCCAGGCACTGAGCCCAGCTCCTCCAAGCCTCAGACCAGCACCCTGACTTCCCAGCCACCTTGCCCTCAACAGCCATGCCCCTCACCAGGCCAAACGTGGCTGAGAGCAGGAGGCCGTGTCTGAGAGACGGTGGCCAGGCCTGCACGGGAAGCGCCAGCTGCAGAGCTCTCCTGGCAGCACCTCTTCCAGCACGTGAGCTCAGGCTGGCAAGTCATGCAGGTTTGGCAGCAAAGTGTTTCCTACCTGCCCTGGCACTCTGATGTGGTTACCACAGCAGCGCCGGGGGACTTACGTCGCTCTAGAGGCGCCGCACCCCTCCTGACATCACAGCGCTGCCTTGGCCACGCACCTCTGTGCAGCCGCCTTTAGATGAGCAAGCTGCTGCTTCCTGGGCAGCTGGGGGATAACAGCACAGAGAGCAGAGGGAGGCGAGGTGCCAGGCCCTGAGCAACCCGTCCCCCAGGAGCTTTCCCATTGATCTGCCCTAGTTGGTGCTGCTTTGACTTCCCCCTTTCACTGCTGCCCACGTCAGCCCCGAGCAGCATACAGATTTGCACCACATGTGCTCCGTGGGACTCTTCTGTCCACATCCGGATGCTCTGTAACACAAATTATGCTTGAGAGCATGTCCAGACACAGCCTGGGTTTTCATGTGCTTTTTGTCCCTGATACCAAGGCTAGTGCCCATCCCTTGCCCAAGGAAGAGCAATGGGTCAGAGAATTAGAGAATCCTAGAGCCACGGGGCTGGTGAGGAGCTGCAAGGTCACATCAAGTGCAAGCCCTGCTGGAGGCAGGATCAGCCCTGTCCACACCAGCCTGGACAAACCCCATGTCTGAGCTCTGAGCACCAGGACAGTCACCCTGACAGCCCCAGGCATTGCCCCTGCCCCTGGGAAAGCAGGGGGCCTGCGGCTGCCAGCGACCTGCTGCTGCAAAGGGGGTTCATGGACGCTGCAGAGAGCACAGGCAGAGGCAGCGCCCCGCTGCAGAGGAAGGCAAAACACCAGTCTGAGCAGGGAGGAAAATCCCTTCTCGTGCCGAGCTGAGCAGCTCCTACCTCCTTGATGGCCGACATCTTGATGTTCTCGTAGTAGTGCAGCGGTGCATTGGGCAAGCTCATGTCGTAACCGAATCCCGCGACTGCTACCTCATCGCAGTTGTGGAGCGCCATGGTTATTGCTACGCTTCCCAGGGTGGGGATGTTCTGGGCAGGGAAAAAGAAGGGACACGAGTCATTTGCACATCACTGCCATCCTCACTATGAATGCAACCTCCTGTCAAGGGCTTGGGACAGAGGGATAACATTACTCCCTGGCAGGGCAGCAAAGGGCCAGGGCCCAGCTGGGTATCGGCTGCCAAGGCTGTCGCAGCCTCTGACCTGCGCAGGAAACCCTGCCACCCCCTGCAGCGACGGCTGCTCCAGCTCTGTGCCCAGCTTCTCCTGCCCAAGTCTGGCCAGGCAGGGGGCAGTGCTGGGGGTTCAGCTCTCCCTCTCCCTCCCGTGGGCTCTGCGTCCTGGAAATAGGGCAGCAGGTCTTGCTAGGAGAGGGGTGGTGAAAGAGGCCAGCTGTGGCTGGAGAGGGTGAGCGTGCACATTTGTTCTCAGATGTTACAGCAGCCACCAGCGTCTGAATCCCCAGCAGCTTCCCGCCAGCCCAAGATGAGCGTGAGAGCTGACTGGGCCGCTGAAGGGAGGCAGCAGGGAGCATGGCACAGGGGACAAAGTGCCACCTGCGGCAGCTGCACGAGCACCGGGATGGGATGGAGGGAGACTGGGGGCTAGGGGGGGACCCTGCTTCCCAGTACGGGCAGCCAGACCCAGTGCTGTGCAGGGGAGACGCCTGCTATGGGGGCGCCAGGATCCAAGCGGCGCCTGGCCTCCCCCCCAGCTGTGCTGCCTTTGGAAAACGACCTGCGGGCAGGAGCCAGCCTGAGGCTAAAAGCCAAGAGAACAGCACAAGTGGGGGCCCAGGCACTGCTGAAATCATCGGTCTTCGCTACAGGCCAAAGGGCTCTTCCTCCATTCCTAGCTCTCCCACCCTGCCCTCGCTGCCACTTCCCAAGCAGCCAGAGCTCTCCCTGTTCAAACGTGGCCTGTCTCGGGAGGAGCTCGCTACTCCCGAGACGGCAATAAGACCAAGCCCATGCTGGGCTGTACTTTGTCCCCCACAGTGAACGCTGCAGAAGAAGCAGGGGCTCCTTCTCTGGATTGTGCACGTTCGCCGGCGGTGCTGGGGCCGAGTGAGGTCGGGGAGCACTCACAGCCTGCCTCACTCAGCTTAAAGACCCACAGATCAACCTGACAGCAACAGAGATGTCCTGACTCCTTATGTGACAGGAGCTGCACCTGCGGCGGGCCCTGTACCGCGTGGCGCTGACCCGCTGTCCTTAGCCAGTGGTTCTCGGGCTTCTGAGACTCAAGACCCCCTGGGAAAGGCCAGCCCTTACCTTGCACTCATCTCTTGACTAGAGAAAAATACCAGAGCAATTCTTTTTTACAAAGAACTGAGAAAGGCAGCAGCTGGGCAGAACGGCTTTCACACGACGGACTCCTATTTGCAATCCTTGTGTTTCTCATGTGAACCGTGTTTGCAGACCTGGCTGGGCTAACGTCGCGCAGCACCCCGTGCCACGCTTGGAAGGCCTCAAGGCATCTGGTTGAGGGTCACCGTCCTTAGCTAAATAATGTGACATGGCCCCAAAATAACATAAAATGGAGAGAGTGACTGCAGTGGCAGCTTTGAAATGAAATATGCAGCAAACCGCACCAAGCCCTTTCCACACTGGTAAAATGCATGACAACAAATGAAGCACACAGTGAATCACATTTAGTCCTGTGGGTCTCTCCTCTTGCAAAGAGAAACATGCAGCTGGTCCATGGGCTGCTGAACTACGGTTTTGTGTCCTGGGTGAAACGGGCACCTGGAGCAGAGGGAAGTCAACCATGGGGCTCTCTGGGGAATTCTTCCCACCGGTATTTTAATGCTGCCCTGGCCGGGCCACAGAGCTCGCTGCATCTCCACGCTTCTTTGCCCTGCTAAGAAAAGAGTGGCTCTCTGTCCTGGGGATGTGACACGGTGAAGGCACCTCTGATCTTTCCCCTACACACCTGCTGCCCTGGTTCTCGTCCTCTTCCTCCAAAGCATCCAGTCCTTGCCAGCATTAGAGCGAGGAGGCCAGGCTAGACGGACCATCGGTCCTCCCCAGCAGAGCACTTCTGCCAGTCTTACGGATGCAGAAGCTGCGTGTCCCACCCCCCAGGCCCAGTGGCAGCTCTTCGCATCTCTGCTCCATGAAGGCTATGAGAAAAACCCTTGCTTCTCACACGCTCGCTGGGGCATCACGGCAACCCCAGCCCCACACACCACAGGCTCAGTGGCCCCGTGACCCCCACCCCTCTGCCCAAGGCTTCACTAGGGAGGGGACAGCGCTGCATTTCGTTCGCCGCAGTGAAGTCTAGCTGCTTTCAATTCCGTGCCAGGGTCACTGTAGTGTCACCGCCTTTTAGGCTGGCAGGAAATTATTGCTGTAAATCTGTTTTCATAAATACCTGACACCCTACGGGACTAAATGGATTCCAGTCGCTTCTGGGGTTTTACCTCATTGTGCGGAAGAGAGATGGATTATTGCGGCTGTGATTGCCTTCTCTGAAGAACAGGGCGTTGTTACCAAATTTGGTACTGGAAATCACAATTGCAACACAATATTAATGTTGGCTACAACTGATGCATTAACTGAATGTTGCACTGAATTCTCCTGCAGAAAAAATTGTGCACCGCAAAAAATTCCCTCCTCCTCTCATGTTATTCTGGGTACAGCTGGCAAACGTGATCATGTGGTATCTGTAAAGCCTTTGGAGCACACATGAGCCATGCAAACTGGACCATGCATCACTACCACATCCTACAATAACAAAACACCCTTGGGCTTTTCTTTCAGATGCTTGTACGTTTATGGGAACTAGCCCGAGGGGTGCGCAGCCCTCCCGCGCTGCAGGGGCTGCCCCCTTTCCTTTCCTACCTGCACCCTGCAGAGACGGCCAGCACCACTTGGAAGTACCAGTGATGCACCCGGCATGGATGCAGCCGTGGTCCCAGCAGCCGGAGCCGGCAGCCCAAGCGCTGCTCCTGCGGCTGATGCCTGGCGCAGAGATCCCTGCGCCCGCTGTTGCCAGTCTGGTCTTGGAGACAGGCAAAGCGGAGCAGCTTTGCTTCTCCCTCTCCTGACTTATCCCTTGCTGTGACCGGGAGCACTCTCCTTAATCGCCTTAGAGGTCTGGGGGCGGAGAGCAGGGAATGGTCCACCAGAGGAGAAGGGATGCAATGCGATGCCCCCAGGGAGTCCAGTTTTACCATCTAACTGGAAGAGAAAGAGCCCATTGATTCCTCCCCTTGTGACCTGGGCCCATCCACAGGACTTGTGCACTGAAGTGTGAGGCCTCTGGTATCCTGGAGCATCCTGGGCAAAGAGCAGAAATGCCCTGATGGCAGCAGGATGCGGGGGAGAGGGGGAGAAAGGATCTCTGCACATGCTTAGGGTGCATATCTACTGCTCCATTACAATGCCTGATGGTGCTGCCTGGGCCATGCTGGGCTTGCTCTATGCGTGCTACCTCCTCAGCCTGAAACGCTGCAGCTGCCTTTGTGCAGCAGGGCGCGGGTGCGCTCACCCCCCCTGCCACTCAGCCGATGTGGTTGGTACCAGGATGGAGTGGGATTGATGTAGCCTCCTCAGTGCGCTCCACAGGTTGAGCCCGGCTGAGCAGCTTGGAGCCTGCTAACCCAGCTCCCCACAGCACAAAAGGGAACTGCCAGTGAAACCAGAGTAAGGCAGGATGCAGGTCCCACTACTCCTGTCCTTGCACTGCTTCTGCCCTTGCACGCTGGCAGGGATCACAATGGAGAAAGCCAGTGGGTGGTAAAAGCCACAGCCACTGCCTGGAAAGAAGAGCTCAGCATGGCCATGGTGTTCTCATGAGGTTCAACAAGGACAAGTGCAAAGTCCTGCACTGAGGAGGGAGCAATCCCCTGCACCGGGGCAGGCTGGGGGTGACTGGCTGGGCACCAGCTCTGCAGGAAAGGACCTGGGGGGACAGGGGACAGGAGCTGAGCAGGAGCCAGCAGTGTGCCCTTGTTGCCAAGAAGGCCAATGGCATCCTGGGCTGCATCGGTAGGAGCACTGCCAGCAGATCAAGGGCAGTGATTCTTCTTATCTGTTCAGCACTGGGGAGACCACATCTGGAGTCCTGTGTCCAGTTGTGACCCCCACGACAGAAAGGATGTGCACACTTTGGAGATAGTCCAGTGGAGGGAAATGGGTGGAGCCAAATGGGTGGAGCCTGGGGCACGGGACTTAGGAGAGGCTGAGGAAACTGAGCTGTTTGAGTCTGCAAAAGAGACAACCAAGGGGGATTGAACAGCAGCCTTCAACTCCCTGCAGGGGGGCTGCAAAGAGGATGGAGCTGGACTGGTCTCTGGGGGCAGACGACAGGACAAGGAGCAATGGGCTCAAGCTGCAGCAAGGGAAGCTGAGGTTGGATATTAGGAAAAAAAAATTCACTAGGAGGGTGGTGAAGCACTAGAACAGGCTCCCCAGAGAGGTGGTGGCGTCTCCATTCTTGGAGGTTTTGAAGCCCTGGGTAGACAAAGCCTTGGCTGGGATGGTGTAGTTGGGGCTGGTCCTGCTTGGAGCAGGGGTTGGACTAGAAGCGACTCCTGAGCTCCCTTCCACCCTCATTTCCTGCGATTCCACGGTGTGATGCAAACCTGTCCTGCAACGAACCGTGGTCGCCGGCAGGAAGCACTACGGCACCCTGGAGGCTGCCTGCCCAGCCTGGCCACAGCTGCAGAGCCAGGGAAGCAGGTTTGGGGCAGGAAGCGCTGACTATCCAGCTCCAAAGGTCGACTCTAGGGCTGCCAGCGCTTGGCTGAGGTGCTAAATCCACTCAAAACTCGCCAGTTCACAGCTCTGTGAGGCCGAAGCTGAGCTGGTGCAGGGCAACGCCTTCAGCAAGATGGTTTTACACCCTCTCAGCTCTGCAGATCTTGCACAGCCATTTCTGCTGCCTGTCCCAGAGCCTTCACATATAAGTGACTCCAGGCACCTCCAGACTGGCAGGTGCAGAACATCTTGCAAGCTTAAAGTAAAACTATACAGGATGGGATCAGCAGGTTTAGCAGAAAGGAACTTCAGGGCCACACATGCAGATTCAGCACATCCATGCATCTCCTAATTTCCACCACGGGACAGAGCGGAGGGTTAGCCTGCAGCTCCGGGCAGCAGGGTTTTGTTTCATAGGATGTTCTGGCAGATCACGCGCAGATCCACAGGCCAGCAGAGCGTGCGGAGCCAGACTCCAGGCCTGGCACTGCCGCAAGGGCCTTGGAGCCCTGGTCACAGATGAGAGCGAGGTGTGCCAGTCGCCTTGTGCAGCAACAGACATGCACCCCTTCTCTGCCTGCAGCACTGTGACAACCGCCATTTGAGGACTGATGCTATCTGTGTTAGGTCAGAAGCTGAGCCCGTCGCATGCCAGGCTGCCTCGGTCAGCACAGACGTCCCTCGGACCCAGCCAAGAACATGCGCACCTGGTGACTGCATCCAGGGCAGGAGGCAGCGACTCACCCCCTCTGCCTGGATCACAGCTCATGGCATGAGCAGGACTGGAAAGCCCCAGGCCTTCCTGTGCCACCTGTGGGTGCAGCTTGCTGAAGGCATAGGTACGAGGGTCAGCTTGAATTCCCACTGCTTTCCTGAGGGATGACACTGCAGGGCGTGCCCATCTCCCCCACTTTGGCCAGCCCTACAGGCACTCAGCAGGGCTCCTGTGGGGTGGGAGGGAGTGGGGCTGCCAGAAACCCTGGGCGCAGCCCCTACAACCCAGGAGACTGTCCATTTTGCAGTGGTTTGCCCAGCCCCAGATGACAGGGCTACCAGATGAACCCCCACAACCAGTGACTGGAAAGCCTGGCTGCTGTCCATGGTGGGTGCCCAGCTTGCATCCTGGCCAGCAGGACAGCGCGCTCCGGTCCGAGTCCTGGCTGCTGCTCCCAGGGCCGCAGGTGCAAACCCAACACCCTCAGCCTTGTCCCTGGTTGCATCCTCCAGATCCATCCAGCTCACTTCACATAATCCGACAGGGAGGATGGGCCTGTGCTCCCCTTTGTTAGCTCCCGGGAGAAGCCTTTGGAGATCAGCCATGAGCGGTTCTACTTGCTCTCCTCAGCCGTGCAGAAAAGCCCTCAAACCACAAAGTTAATTGGCTGCACATCACTTCCACACGTGGCGTGCCAGGAGCCCCGATGCTCGTTTCAGCCTTAGAAGCTGAGCAGAGCGGAACTTGCTGCCCTTCACAAGGAGGCTGCATTGGGCCCAATTAAGAAGGAGCCCGTCAACCTCGACCAGGCTCCCAAACAAGGCCTGCCTGGCAGCCCCTCGTGTGGGGAAGGGCTGGGCGCCAGTGTGCTCTGAGCAGACTGCCCTGGGAAAGTCTGAACGTGTGCCGTCTGCTGCCGCTCTGCTCCCCAGCCCCCCTCCCTCCCACACCAGCTTCCGGCAGCACAGATGCCAAGGCCACCCCTCGATAGGTGCAGTCACCATTACAGCCCAGTCCTGGCCTGGCCAGCCACGTACCCTGCCTGCACCCGCATAGTTCTTGCTGCCCTGCCTCAGGCCCCGGGAGGACGGAGCGACTGCATAGAGGTCATGGGCAACGACTGCTTTTCTTCAAACCTCATAAACCATCTCCTTTCCATGCCCAGACGGACTCTCCTGAAGCCAAACATCAGGTTTCAATTAAGCCCTCTTGGTTTTCCAATCTGACGTGTGTTGGACAGCCTATTGCAACCTCATAAACGTCCATTCACAGCCTTCTCATTTCCGGCTCCTCTCCTCTGCTCATAGATTACATGTAATATTCTGGGCAGTCAGATCATGTGTGCAAGAATAAAAACAAATCCAGAGAAAATAAAGGCAAAGCCTGGTGGCTCCCAGCCCTCCCCAGGGCAATGGCCCCGCTCCTCTGGAGGGCAAGCACAGAGGGGGCAGGGGCAATGGACGTCTAGCAGGGGGGAAGGCTGGTGCAGGAGCCGTGTGTTCCCAGCACGGATGTGCATGCACAGCTGTACACTGCTGGGGGTGCCCGAGCCCCCACAGATGAGCTGTTCTCCGTGGCTGAACTCGTCTGCAGCTCCTCCGCCTGGCATGTTTGCTGTGTCATGCTGGAAGGAGCTGTTTCCTACCTCCAGCGTCTGCCTCACTGCACTTGGACCAGACCCAAGCACCTCACCCCCCGTGTGTCAAAATAACTGACTCCTATTTCACAGCATGGGAAATGATGCCATAAGCCGCCCCAGTCTGAGTGCACGCAGCAGCTCTGCTCTGGTCTGGCTGAACTCCCGCACGGAGGGCGGCCAACCCAGGCCCCAGCAGCGGCAGTAAGTCCCAGCACGGTGCCACATGCTCGACTGGGGACAGTACGGAGAACAAAGGGGCACTGGAAGATTTGGCTCAGGACTCGGACCGAGGCCAGTCAGAGATTTGTAACTGGCTTTATTGCTCTCTGCACTGACGCACTGAGGACTAGAGGCTGCAAGGTGAAGAAACAGGACTCGACAAGCAGCTCACGGGAGCTGTTGCACCTGCCGTGGTTTCCCTCCCAACACTACATGTGCTGGGGTGCTGCGTGGCTGCTCGCCACCCCCCTGGGGAGTCCGTCCGTCAGAGCCTGTCCTAGCTCAGGCACAAGGTCGTACCCCGTCGAGCCATGACAGGTGGACGAGGCAAGGCGGGACAGGGCATCCCCGGGATACAAGTGATGTTCCTCCTTCCTCCCAGACAGGACACATGCAGGGGACACCACTCCACGAGGGCCCTCCCCTGCAGGGCGACCCTGACCTGGGCTACCCCCTCACAAAGGAAGGAGCAAGAGTAGCAGAGATTCAGCGAGGTTAGGCAACAACAATTAGGGACAGGTAAAAGCTCTGTCCTGGAGAGAGTGAAGGGACTGGGGTTGTTAGAGGGCAGCCAGGTAATGAATGGCTCGGAGAGGAGAGGTTGGCAGCTGCTACTTGCCCCCTTCCAAAACACAGGAGCCAGGAAGATTTCCAGGAACAAAGTCAGTGAATTCCCAGCAATAAAAGAACAGTCACTGGGAGTCCTCTCACCCCAGCAAAGCCAGAAGCCCAAAGACCCGGCAGGATCACAGCAACGCAGCCTTTGCTGGGAGACACGAATTCTCAGACAGAGCAGCACGTGCTAGGAGCCGACACGCATGCAAACAGGCTGTGGAGCAGGGCCTTGAGTTTGGCAGGGCTGAGATCTTCATTTTGGGTACAGCCCTGGGAAAGTCTGCCCAGACGTGACCGCTACAAGTCCTTGAAAAACTGAAGTCTCCCATGCTCAGCAGGGCCTTCAATGTTAGCAGCTAAAGTCCTTGAAGAATTCATCCCCACGGAGCATGACTTTCCCTGACCCTAGCTCTGTGACACCACCAGCCAGCTGGGCACCTAACTGCGGGGGGGTGATGGGAAGCCAGGGGGAAGGGGCAGGACAGCACAGATGAGGAGCTGGGCTGGGCAGGACTGAGAGCGTGGAGGAGTCTGATGATTTGCTGCTGGGCAGAGAGGCTAAGACTGGTCTCATCAGCCCAAGCGGTGGAGACCGGGACATGGAGCCACGGGTGGGTAAGAGGGCCATGAGGCGGGAGGGATAAAGGGAGGG